AATATTAGATATTAGAAAAGTTGAAAAATTACAGAAAACGATTCTATGTCAGGAAATATTCGTAAATTAAAATTTTTACAAGAAACAAATATAATAAGTATTATTTATAACTCGTAATATAATTTGTTATATTTTGAAAATGCTCTGACATTTGCAGACTAAATGCATAGAAATCAAGAAAATGGTACTTTGCGTCACAGTATGTAAATTTCTTACGACGTACCATTGCATTCATTCGACCGACTTTACCGAGTCTTCTTGAAATATTCCATCGACATGAATTTTTCTCACGTTTTTGAATTCTAATTTTCCATCTTCACAGCATTTCTACTCTAATAATCCTTTTATTACTGCAACCTTCATTCTGCGTTATTTTTGCATTTAAAACTGTATTTCTTGTCCCTGTCAATAAACTTAAAAATTTGTTGTGCCATTTCAAAACAGTTCTTATAATCAACTGACACTCGTCTACTGCAGAAAGCAATTAGAGAGGAACACCTGTTTAATCTCCACCATATTAAACGTGTACTCTTTCTTTTCTCTAACATTTTACCTATCCTTTTCAATTGAAAAAATACTAATTATTTTGAATCCTGTGACAAATACATAAATTTTCTCCAACTACAATTTAGTAGTTTTTATAAACTAAAAATTGAAAATTTTTAATCTTGAGGTGTTACCAACTGTGTAAATTGAAAAAACTCTAAAAACATTTTCCAGAAAATCGTTCGTAATAAATCGAAAATTTGATCCAGATATTCAAACATCTAAATAACTTTCCTTCATGTGGAACAGCTTCAATTTCAGAATGGAGTTATAAATTTTTACGAAAAATTCTCTGGTGCCCGTGTCTCGTTTATCTCGTGAGTTGATTAACACTTGCGCGAATTTACATAATTCTACACGTGTTCCACGAACGTGTAGGCCACTTAAATTTCCCTCAAATTAGAGAGAACAAATCCAGATTGACAAATTTTGGCAAACTGCCAACGTGGAATAGTATCGTTAATCTAAACTTCATAAATTTAGGCCAGTTATATTGAGAAAACTTGTTTTCGAATTTTCTGATCGTTTTCGATTTTCTGCACGCGAAAAATATTTCGAGAAGTGTTTATGTTTATATTTTTTCAAGGGAATGAAAGGTATATATATATATAAAGAATGTGTTTGTCGAAATATTCGAGGGATTTCGAGAGCGGAACAACGATCGACGGATTTTACGATTTGTTAAGTTGCATTCTTGGAGCGTCGTCAAGAATGCGCGATGAAAAGATTGTGTAACGCGCGAAATGTGACGTTATAAGTTTACGAATAGTTGTAGCAAATATTATTCACCGATTCAAAATCAATATTTTTCATTTTATTTTTCTTCTTTCGTATTTTACGATTCCTTTATTTCCTTTCCTCTCCCTTCTTTTTTTCCCCGGGTTCTTGTTTACAATCGGCGTGATTTGAATTTCTAAAAATTTCCCGAATTTCTTATCAACTGGGATATTTTTACAATCACCGAGTCTTTTGAGTTTCATGGTTTTTCAAGTCGATGTAATTTTTATATTTCCCGAATTTGGCTCGTTTCACAATGACGATTATGCATGTAGAGATATTTTTCTATTATGTCTTTTTTAATTTACAGAAAATGAGAATTTTTCGTTTTTACTGTTTATAAAGAAAAAAAAAAAAAAGTCGAAAATAAACTTCCCATTTTATACTTCCTGTATTTAATACTTTCTCTTACTTGAGTTATAATTATTGTTAGAATATGCATACTGGTCAGCTTATCTGAATTCTTATCGCCCGAATAACCATAGTTGAACGACTGTAGTAGATGAAAAGCGGTTACATTCTGCAATGTGAACGTACCTAAAGGCCACGTGCACGTTGCAATATCAGTACGCATAGTCTTTTCACTATAATTGCCGTTATATCGAACCCATTGCAACGAATGACTGTGATAGGAACAATAGAGTCACAATTTTACTGATCAAAATAAAAGTAGCTTATTTTTATTTCTAACCTTTACAACAAACTTAATCGTATCAACCGCGAAAGAGAATTTTTTAGAAATTTCCCTATATTTCTATATTTATCTCGGTAGATATTTCTCACTGTTTAACGCAACTTCGTGAGAATGTTAACAAAGTATTAACAAACCAACGCGCAAAACAAGAATTATATAGACCCTTTAGTACGAAAGAAATAAAATTCCTAAAAACCGCTCATTTTTCGTATATTTTCTTAACCCTTTCGTGACCAGTGGGACGCACATGTCCCACTCGAGTACTCGAATAAAAATACAAAAATTCATCTGAATTTACTATCTATTGCAAACCTGACGATTCACAGATAAATAAAAAATTCGAAAGTGTTAACCCTTTGCTGTCCTGTAACGAGTCGAGACACGACACAGGTATATTTTTGCTTTCAGATATCGTACAATCGTTGATTAAAAATTATAAACGACAATAAACCATCTTTCGTGCATTGATATTATACTGAAACTTAATATTTCACAACTAACATTACCCTGAAATATTGAAATAAACGCAAACTAAGACGGTAGATGCTCGACGGTGGCCGCAAATGAGCGCGGATTAACCGGACTATTCGGACTGTAATGGGTTAACCCCTTAACCTATGATTTCTTTTCTGACTGTGCATCTAAGCGTCAGCCATTTTCTGTTTTCGTACTGAATCAGGTAACAATAGCTAATCTATTACAGATTAATTACGTTTAGTAATTTTCAGTCGTACGATTGAAATTTTAAAACCGGTCATTTGACCGGGGCGTGGTACGGTTAGTGTTAATAATCTAGGCATTTGGGACGGTTTAACCCCTTAACCTATGATTTCTTTTCTGACTGTGCATCTAAGCGTCAGCCATTTTCTGTTTTCGTACTGAATCAGGTAACAACAGCTAATCTGTTACAGATTAATTACGTTTAGTAATTTTCAGTCGTACGAATTCAAACGAA